CCGTGGGCTCAGGCAATCCACTCACCTCAGCCTCCCAAAGGCGCGGGATTACAGGCTGAGCCACCAAGCCCGGCTCCTCTTTTTTAATTTATATAGACATAGTGAATCTGCATTTCTTTCTTTCTTTTTTTAAATTTTTGTTTGTTTTTTTTTGAGTTGGAGTCTCACTGTTGCCCAGACTGGAGTGCAGTGGTCGCTCCTGGCCACCGCAGCCTCGACCTGCTGGGCTCAGGTGATCCTTCCGCCTCAGCCTTCCAGGTAGCTGGAACTACAGGGGTGTGCTACCACGCCTGGCTAATTTTTGATTTATGTAGAGATGAGGTGTCGCCAAGTTGCCCGGGTGGGTATCGAACCCGCGAGCTCAGGCAATCACCTCAGCCTCCCAAAGGCGCGGGATTACAGGCTGAGCCATAGAGCCCAGCATCTTTCTTTTTTTTTTAAAGATGTGGGGTACAATTTAGGATCTAGTATACAAGTGGTCATTGTATAGACAAAGTTTGGGCCTCCCTTTGGTCTCCACTTCACTTGGTTTTAGATCAGGTACCCTTATTGATGTTGTGTGCCCCTCCTCCCTCCCCTGGCAGTTTCCCGCTATTACCTCTCTCTCTCGCTTTTTAAAATTTTTAAAATTATTTATTTATTTATTTATTTATTTATTTATTTTTGAGTTGGAGTCTCACTCTGTCGCCCAGACTGGAGTGCAGTGGCCGCTCCCGGCCACCGCGGCCTCGACCTGCTGGGCTCCGGCGATCCTTCCGCCTCAGCCTTGCGAGTAGCTGGAACTACAGGCGCGCGCTATCACGCTAGGCTAATTTTTCATTTATTGTAGAGATGAGGTCTCGCCAAGTTGCCCAGGCGGGTCTCGAACCCGCGGGCTCGGGCAATCCACTCACCTCAGCTTCCCAAAGGCGCGGGATTACAGACTGAACCACCCAGCCTGGCTTCTCTCTTTTTTAAAAGCAGGATGTAGTGAGAGGACATAAAAGCTCCCACAGTGGGTGGAGACCCAAGGGGATCGATTGCTCCTACCTCTTTCTTATAGTATTATGATAAATGTTCAGGGTCCACTTAGTCTATCATATTCAGTGATCTATCACAGAAACAAAGAACTGAGTACCACATGTTCTCAACCATCCCTCTTTTACAGATAAAGACACCCAGGTCCTGCCCAACCCTGCCCAACCCCTTTGTGCTCAACACTGCCAGCAGAAAGTGTTTCCAGGCACAAAGCACTTTCCTGCACTTCACCCCACAGTGCCTCACTTCCAGGGGCAGTAATGGTAGCACTGAGTTAAGAGCACAGGCTGTTGACTAGACCTGAGTTTGATTCCTTACCCACGAGGCCATCTGCGTCACACACAGAGGTTACCTAATGCCTCTTGTCCTCAGTTACCTCATCAGTAAAATGAGCATCAAAATGCCTTTCTCATAGGGCTGTTGGGAGAACAAACGAGATAAAGCATTGAAAGTTCTGTGAAAGAGGCCTAGAGTGGAGAAGTTGTGTGTGAGTGTGTGTGTGTGCGCGTGTGTTTGTGTTTGTGTGTAATTTATCCCCTCCATGAAGAGCGCCAGGTCCCCAGACTCCCCCTGGTCTGGCATTTCCTTGAAATCCAGGAGAGGCAGGGCGCGGTGGCTCATGCCTATAATCCCAGCACTTTGGGAGGCCGAGGTGAAAGGATTGCCTGAGCCCACAGGTTCGAGACCAGCATGGGCAAATTGGTGAGACCTCATCTCTACAATAAATCAAAAAAATTAGCTGAGCCTTGTGGCGCGTGTCACTGCACTCCAGCCTGGGCAACAGAGTGAGACTCCAACTCAAAAAAAAAAAAAAAGAAAAGAAAGAAAAGAAATCCAGGAGAGCCCATGACTGGGACAAGGTGACCGTGGGGAGGCCAGTCTGCGGGAAATGGCTGAGCGAGAGGACAAGTGATGGTCTCAGGGTTGGGGAAAGAGGAGGGGCATCGGGTGGTCACTCAGAGGAACTGCCTGTGTTCCTCAAGAAGCCCCGCGCAGGGGAGGGGTGGGCGCCCTGCGGGGCCCCACCCAGACGCGTGGTGGTCCAGGAAAGATGCTGCTAAAGGGCTTGCGGAAGTGAATAAGGAGTGGGAGCCCAGTCTGTCTCCTAGGCTGGCCAGTCTCGCCCGAGGCTCCGGCTGGGCGCGTCTTCCGGGATTTGGGGCTCTGCGCTGCGCGGGGGGGGAGTCTGGTCGGGGGCTACTGGCCGAACCCAGGCTAAGCGCCTGCTTCCGAGAGCGCCCACACGGAGCAGGTGCTCTTCCTGGCCCGCTAGCTGGGCCCAGCCAGGTGCCGGGGGACGAGAGGCGAGATCCCAGACGGGCCGCCGGGCTAGACCTTGACCGTTGCACGCCGCCGGCCTCCCGT